CCGTAAGTTACAGACTCCCTGTGAACTGGAGAAAACATAACAATCACCTTTTATAGGCGAAACTTCCCGCAATATATTAAATTCTCCAGCAAACAGACACGGGCTTTACGGCCAACTATAACTTTAATGCCTCCCAACCACTCGGATATTTTGGAGGGGTTATGGATAACCGGGAGTGCTGCACCTTGCCCTGTGCCAGGAGATGGCTGGGATGAGGATGGGGACATTCACCAGCATGTGTGCCACCCCCAGCCCAGGCTTTTTAGGGCCATTTCCTCGGTGGAGCCCACTGAGACCTGGCATTTCTGCGCTGGGAGCTGGGATGAGCAGTTATTAGAAGGAAACAGCTGGGAGCAAGATGATATTTAAACTGGTATTAGGAGAGCACCGTGGTAGGGAGATAATGCCTGGGGCGGTTTTGCAGCACCGGTGCCGAGGGGCTGCTGCAGCCAGCGATACAGTTAATTTGCAGCCGGAGCTGGAGGCTGGCCTGCACTGATATTGCTGTGTTATTTAGAAGAGAAAGGTCAGGCCGGAGATTGAATAATCATTGACAAGAAACCCACAGGGGAGCGCGGGCAGCGACGCCAGGAGAGCTCGGGCATCCTTGTGCTGGTAGGGATTTTGGCTGACATCCTGCATCCCCTATCGCACGTTGCACACCCTGCATCCCGCGGCCCACAGCCCATATCCCTCGCAGTGCATCCATCCTGCATCCCATCCTGCAAATCCTGCATCCCGCATCCTGCAGCTCGCATCCCATCCTGCACTGCATCCTGCATCCCATATCTTATCCTGCATCCCACATCCTGCATCCCACCCTGCTTCCCAAATCCCACTAGCCCTGCTCCGGAACGCCTGGCACTGGGCAATCACAGCCCCTGGGGGTCACACTGAGCCTCCCCTCAGCCATCAGCACCAGTGCAGGGCCGCCAGAAGCCCCTGCCCTGGGTCAGAGCTGTCCTTAGCAGGCATGAGGATGGGGCTGTACCTCACTCTGGGCACCCAAATCTCTTCCCTCCAGCTCCCACCTTTCACTCCCAAAAAATACACCAGGATTGGTTTAAAGATTTTTTTTTTTTTTTTTTTTTGCAACAAAAGAAACTATTTATTTGGAATATGCATTACCAGTACAAATCAGGAAACTGTAAAACCTACACCTTGTTAGTATCGTCATAGAACATAAAAGTCTCAATTGGGATCAGAAAGACAGAGGCCTTTTTCTTTACAGAAGCAGAAAAGCTTAAAGTTTCAAAACCAGGTCGGAACAGAGTTTTTTTTTTTCTTTCTTTCTTTTTTTTTTTTTTTTTTTTTTCCTTTAATATTTGGAATCCATTAAGAAAAGAGGGGGAAAAAAAAAAAAAAAAAAAAAAAAAGATGGGGGAAAAAAAAAGAGAAAAGAAAAAGCAACTCAGAACAACAGCATCGTCTTTACAAGGGAAGAAAGGGCTCTGCGAGGAGAACAAAAAAAAGCAAACCAACAAAACCAACCCCCCAGGCAACATCTGATTTACATCATCTGAATAATAATAATAATAATAATAATAATAAAGGTGTATGAAAACAGAAGGACTCCAGGAAACCTCGGGAGTAAAAAGAACGCCCCGAAACCTACACCGTTCAGTGATGTGAGAAGCTCAGGTGTTTTGGGGGGGCAGAGTGGGGAAAACCATCTTTGAAGAAGAGATTTCTTCTCCATGAGCCCCATCTGCAGCCATGCAATGATGGGAGACTGATGAGGGTGCTTTGGCTGCATCCCCTCCCTCATCCCTTGCTCCTTCCCAGGGCCCTGCGGCTTGGTGACGCCTGTAAGATCCATCCTCACCCAACACTCAAGGTGGATGGAGGCCATGGGGGTTGGCACCTCCATTGCTTCCCATCCCTTAATCTTGGGTCGAGTTGGGTCAACCGGTGCCTCCAAGACTGGCTCTGGAGTAGATGCATGGAGTGACGGTGAGGGAAGGATGTAGGGCAGAGAATAAGGGCACTGAAGCCCACAGTTCAAGCCTGGGGGAGAATCCATGGCTTCCTATCCCTTCTGTACAGCTCAACACTGCACATCACCCTAAGGCATCGGAACTGCAGGCTCAGAGCTGCGTCCTCACTTCCCATTGGGGCATCTACTCCCCAAACCCCAAAGCGGTTGCCAAAAGCTCTTGTGTGGCCAAACAGGTGGAGAAACCATGGAGAAGAGAAGGACCCCCCCTCCCCGCACACCCCTCCCCAAACCACCTCCAGCACTTCTCACATCATTTGGATCCCAGCTCTGAAGCCAAAAGGAGGGGAAAGCTGCAAGGCCATCATCTCAGACAGGTCAAAAGAAAGTCATCATCAAAGACCCCCCCCCACCCCCCCAGATAACGCCAAAGGAAAAAAAAAAAACAAAATTCTTTTTAAAAAAGGAATTTCTGGGTCTCAACGTTAAGAAACATAAAGTATTAGAATGTACCTATTAATGCTCACTATTCCAACCATCTTTTTTTTTTTTTCCTTTAAAGTTTTACAAAATGAATTACCGTCACTTTTTTAAACATTGTGTAATAAGAAATGAGTGTGCACAACTCTACACTTTTCTAGCATTCTGGAACTAATTCACAAATGCGAGAAAACTAAAAAAGAAAAAAGAAAAAAAAAAAAGAAAAAAAAAGGGAAAAACAAACAAAACAAAACAAAACAAAAGAAGATGAATGTAGGTAGTCTGATGTTATAAACTATACAGGAATGAAGCGCTTGTTGCCACAGGAAGAGCAGGGATGGACCTTCCCCTGCTCCACTTTGCGTGCTAAAAGGGCCATTTTTTATTCTTTTATTATAAACACTATTAAATTCAGACTGCGTTTTTGGTTCTGGTTTTTTTTTTTTTTTTTTTTTCTTTCTTTTTTTTTTTTCCTTTATCTGAATATACAAGAACATTCATTATCAAATGTTCGTTATCATCAATACTACAAAGAACGAGACACAAATCGCAAGAAACAATGGAAAATGTTAATAAAGCTGAAAGAGTCGTCGAGTTTTGTTGTTTGTTTGTTTTTTTTTTTTTCCCGTGGGTTTTTTTTTTTTTTCATTTTTATTTTTTTTTCCCGAGTTTCTGCAGTGTTTTGTTTGTTGGATGTTTGTGTGGTTTTTGTTTGTTTGTTTCGTTTTGTTTTTTTTCTTTTTGTGGGGGATTTTTTTTTTTTGGTATCGAAGTCAGGTTTTTTTTGTTTGTTTGTTTTTTTGTTTTTTTTTCTGGGCAGAGAAAAGAGAAAAAAAAAAAAATTAAAAATAATTAAAAGAAAATAACCACAACACGTTTTTGGGTAGAGGGACGGGCGGAGAGGGGATAAAACCATTTTAAAAAAAGCACAGACGTAAGGAGTGCGACCGACAACGCGACCCAGAGGGACGAACCTGAGGGTGCCAAGTACCGTGGAGGAGTGAGCGCGGTGCCGTCCTCGGGGCTGTCCTTGCCTGGGACCAACTCGCTCCTGGCCCTCTGCATTTCGTGCCCTGAAGCGAAGCGTGGCAGAGGCAGCCCTTCGCCTCGGGTGCTGTATGCGCTGCCTGCAGCCCGGCCCTCTCCGACTGAGGCGGCGCGGAGTCTCTCCTTTGGGCTGAACCTTTCAGGATTTGGGGCATTCGCTGCCTTTTGTTAGCGGTGGGAGGCGCGCTCATCCCGTCACCAATCAGAAGAACGGACCACAGAATCTGCCGGTCACCGACTGCACACTCGGGAGCCCCTATGGAAAGCCACGGCCCCACGGCCACCCCCGAGGCACCGCGAGCTGCTGGCACCAGGCTGTGGGCCACCCAGCAGAGGGGTGGAAATGTTTCTGGCAGAGCTTTAACGTGAATTGTTTGCTCTGCATCAGCCAGATTTTCAGCTTAAAGGAGCCAATGCTGGTGTGGACAGAGTGCGAGCCGTGGACGGTGAGCTGAGGTTGGGAGGCCTTAAGGTTTGTTGCCAGGTGCCCCACGCTGCCGACCGAACAAATTGCTGCCCATCACCCATGACAAGAGGCAGTGGGTGTCACTGCAATTCCCTCCTGCTGCCCAGAATCCCGTTGCAGCAGGACGAAGTTCTGTTTCCACCCATCACCAGCTGTTCCTAAAGCAGATGGGAAATGCTGGGCAGAAGACCCCACAGTATCTCCCAAGACTTTAGATGCCACTTCTCAGAGTAACTCCAAGCCACGGCAGAAGGACAAACCCCAAAGGGACGTCCACTCACCTTGCAGAGCTTCACCCTCAAGCAAAGCCACTGTATGACCCACTTCCAAAGGCACTCAGAGTGCACCTAGCCTGTGGGGTCCCATGCACCAGGCAACAGTTTGGGGATGCAGAGGGGGCCACCAACCCTTTCACCAAGAAACTCACATTCTCCTTTCCCTCTGCAGCTGGTGGACCTGCAGGGGGAAGCATGAGCTAACACCGTGCAATGCTCTCTGCAGAACTATCTGCTGCTGGCCTCCCTAAGTGAGAAAACTGCTCGCGTTCCATCCATCATTACTTGACCACATAAAGCACCGTGGCCGTGCTCAGCACTTTGGTTACCAGCAGTGACCCACCTGCCTCTGCTTATTGCCCTCCCCACCAGCACTGCAGAACGGTGGCCACAAGGGATGCTGGCAGGGTTCCACCTCTCGGCACCAATGCATTTGGGAGCTGCGGCAGAGCAGGGCTGGGAGAAGAACAAGCAGTGCTGTCTGGGGGCTGGCAGTGGGTTGGTTGGTACCTCCATTAAGCAGTGGGGAGCCCCCGGCTCCGGCTCCTACATACATACAGCAGGGTTGCACCACCTGCCCTCCAGCCCACAGTGCACGGGGATGGCTCCTGGGGCACAGCATGGGTGCACTCAGTGTCCAGAGCAGCCGAGGTGAGGGTGCAGCAGGGCAGAGGGCTGCCGAGACCATTTCCTACGGAGAGGTAGCGAGAGAGGAACAGGGTGAGCGGGGCTGCTTGGTGGAGAAGGAGCGAGACCCGACCGAGGTATGGTTTTGGCTCAGTGCGAGGCCATGCACTGCTTTTGGTTCGGTTGGTGTGGCGGTGGTTGTTTTTTGCTTTTCCTCCTTAAAATCCTTCTAGCTGTCAAAATACCCTTCAGTGGGGAGGTAGGGGAAGGGAGGTGTTGTGGCGGCGGCAAGGGGGGGGGGGAGAGCGGCTTCTACCCAGAAAAGAAAGGGAAGAGAGTATAAAGAAGTGTCCAGATTGGCTGAAAAAAGCATCCCGACGAAGAGAAGAGAAGAGAAGGAGTCTTCTTGTGTGTGCTGATTGGTTTCACCTCCAGTCTGACTGCTGCGGTGTTAGGAGAGGCCCCCTCCCCTCCCGCCCCGCCGGGGCCGGATCAGCCAGGGATGCAATTTGCTGGGAGATCAGTTGGAGGTATCAGAGTGAACGCTGCCAGGGCCTTCTGTGGGGGAGGTCACCGACGATGGGGTAGTAGCGTCTTGCCAACCTCCATTAGCCTGCAGGGATAGAGATGGGCAGCTGTCAGTCATAGCAAAACGGAACCCCACTGCAATGTCTCTGCCCACCCCAGGTCTCCATTTGCATAATGGAGTGGTTTTAGGGATGGAGGGCAAGGATCCCCTGCTCTGTCACCTCATCCCATTGTGGACACTCAAAGAACAAGAACAGCTCAGGATAGCACTGATGAAAAAACAGCGGGATTTGATAATTTCAAGCCTTCACAGAAATTCTGCTCTTTAAAATAAGTATGGGTTAATAAGTGTGAAACCCCAAACTCTGTCTGTTTTTCACACTACAATAGGATGCTTCCCAATAGAAGAGGAAAATAGCAAACAACTAAACAAGCTTGGTTTTTGAACTTGAAACCCCTTTGTGGAACTCCACCTGGACCCAAGCGCTATGAAAACGCAGAATAAGTGCTGCACACCAGCACACAAGGGACCTATGAGTGCAACTTGTCCACACTCCCCAGCTTCCTCAGGCTCAGTGTGTTGCACATCCATCCTGGAGCTCCCACTTGCACCATATACACCAATCCTGACACTGCCCCAATGTCCTGCAGTGCTGTCCTACCACAGCCGGCAGCAGAGCAGCCCACCCAGAGGTGCAGCTGAGCATCCTCCTCATCCAAGAGGTCACATAGCAAAGGCAGGCAATGTTTTCCTCCCACAGTCAATGGGTGCTTTCCCACCTAAAGACCCAGATCTCTGCAGGGCAGAGCTGGCCCCCGGCTGCCATGCACGATAGCTCACGGAAGCTGCTTTTCTCTGGCTGCCGACCCCTTTGGAGAGGAGCAGATGTTGCCCCCACCTCCCCTGCTCACTCTGACATTGATTCAGTGCTCGGCTAATTAATCCACCCTGACTCCTGCCTGTGCTGAGCCAGCAGCAGCAGCCATCCCGCTTTGGATGTGCCCAGTCTGCTCTGCCTGCTCTGGCCATCCCTACGCCTCCTGCTCTAGGACATCCATCGCTGGGCCCAACGGTCCCACATGGGACCTCATGGGAGGGGGACACAGGGATGTCTGGGAGACATACGGCCTTACCCACAACCCCACATGCGCCCACTGCGTCCCCACTGCACATCCTGCTTCCCAGGACGCAGCACCCACCCTTCTCCACGTCTTGGTCCACTGCAAGAGGCAGCAATTACCGTAGATTATCAGCCCCAAAATGACAGGCCGCGGAGAGAGAGACACGGAGCCAACTCCGCCGCCCAGAGACTGGCATATTCAAGTACACTTAGGACATTAATAGCAATTTACGTGCCATCAGTGAGAGAGAGCCACAATAGCGGCGCTGGCAGCCTCTTATTACGAAGCCTGTTATTTGTTGGAGTTACAAGCTATAATCACAACAGAAACTTTCAAAACCCTTATCTTCCGTGACGCACCAAATCTATTTCAGAGCCGTAATTGCTATGTCACCGGAGAGTTTGCTGCTTAATGCACTCAGATGCCATTTAGTGTTTGCAGGGTCATTACAGTGAGCAGAAGGGGGGAGAGGCAGTGGGGGCTGCTCGGAGCAGGGCTCGGTCCCTATTGTGTTGACTATTTTTAGAGGCTTTTTCATGCTTGTCGTGGCTGAGAGGAGCGAGGGGGAGAACATCTTGCAGACAATGGCTGCCCTCTCTCCCTGTACCCCCAAAACGCTGGGCAGCCCTTCTGGCCTCAAGACTGGGAGCCAACCTTCACTTCTGGCAGAAAAGGTGGTTCTGTGCCATGACTGTCACCTCAATCCCACGTAGTGGGAAGAAGAGATGCTGCTGGGCAGGTGCTGACCTCTGCTCCAACGGGTTTGGCCTTGAAGATACCCCACACATCACAGTCTCACATTCTCCCAGCAAGAGTAGCCCCAAACTACAGCCCAAGTGGTGGACAAGAGGGGGCCTTGTGAGGAGCCCTGCACACAGCTCTGACTTCTGCAGGGGAGGGACACAGCCAGACATGCAGCAATAGTCTCCAGGATGTCTCTTCAAATGTCACCTTCTGATGCCAGAGCACTGCCGTGGCCTTGGTGGTTGTCCAAGCGTAGAGCCAGGGTGATGGATTGCTGAAGTAACTGAGTTTGGGGCCGGTTTCTGCAGGTCTCACAGCATTTTTCCTCCAGCAAATCAGGCTGGCTCCCAGCCCGGCCTCCTGCATGGGGCTGATTTTCTGCCAGTTCTTCAAGGAGCTTGCAGCTTTGCACGAAGCCTGTCACCACATCCCACTGTACGTGGCCAAATCCTTGTTCCACTAGCAATGGGCCAGGAAGTCAGTTCAGCCTCCCAACAAACCAGACACTGTGTCTGACAGAGGGGAACAGGCTTCAAAGAGCCTGCAGCGTGGAGAGGTGCTGGCAGAGAGTTGCCCAGAGCTGTGGGTGCCCCCATCCCTGATGGTGCCCCAGGGCAGGTTGGATGTGCCCCCGGGCAGCCTGCCTCACATGAACAAGAAGGCCTCACCTCCTACAGCCAGCAGGGCCACTGAAAGTCCTCACTCCCAGCTGGCAGGCGTGGATGTACAACCACTGTGCAATGGGGCACCACCATCACAATGACAAACATTGCTGTGTAAATAGGCAGAACAGCATTTTTAAATCAAAACTCCTCCACACTGACCAATTTTAAAAATAGCCTCCCGTGTTAGACTTTGCAATGATTTATAAACTAGCCTGCTCCGTTTTCCTCATTAGAGGGTTAGGGATGGAGGGCACAAAGGGCAGAAGGAAAGGAGGAGCCAGGTGTCCAAAAAGAAATTTCTGACAGGACTTTTCTTTAAGATGACTATAAACCACTAATTAATTAGCAGACTGATCAGAGTCATTGCAGCAACCCAGCCTGCATTAACACAGTGTTTACAGGCAGATCCACGGGAGCAAGTACACAGCTCCCTGTGCACATGGTAAGGAGGACACATACAGGGACATCCTCCTTCTAGATGTGGTCAATGAGAACTTGAGTCCTAACCCACCAAGGCCAAAAGAGACCTTGTGGGGATGCCCAACACCGTCTCCACCTAGATGTGAGGTCGGCTGTTTTCGCTCTGCCTCAGCTATCGCTGCAGGTCACAGAGATCCAGTGGCAGGGACATGGCTGATCATCCTGCTAACGATGCACAGACAGTGCCGGGCGGGCTGTCAGCCGCTGAGCAGCTGCAACCAGCAAGACAGGCTCACAGAAGAACCACGGAGGAAATTGGGCTCTGGGTGTATTTCTGTCCTCAGCTGTCACGACGTGCACGCGTTTAAAAATTCATCTTCCACCAAGGAAGGCGAGCCCTGTGCACTGTCTCCCCTGCCAAGCTTTACAGCGGTGGAGCTGGGCAACCTGCTGCTGCCTTCCCAGACCTGACGGGCTCCAGGGATGAGTTAACCTCAGCCCCGTGCAGAGATCTTTGTGACAGGGCTCTTGACTCGGTTTCGGCTCATCTCCTTCCAGCAGCTCCCAGGGATGCTCGGCTTAGGCAGGGATTGCAGCTCTCCGCGTTGCTGGCAGCTTTCCTCTGCATCCCGCTTCATTTCTGCACCATTAAAGGGGTTGAGGAGAGGCAGGGAAAACGTGCCCACTGCTCTGGCTATGAGACAGCCCCTGCCTATATGGACCAACACCAGCACCTATGGGACCCAGCACCAGCACATCCCAGAAGGCAGCCATGCTGCAGGGATGGCAGATCACTCAGCTGGGGGCTGCCAAACGCTTTGGGATCTGCATGGATGAGAAGACATGATATCACAAGCAAAGGGTCTGGGGAAAGAACGGCAACCCAGAAGTGTTTCCTAAACCTTCTAATCTCTTCTAGACTGGCTCCAGATACTATTGGGGAAACACGCTACCTAGATAAGGAGTCTCCCCCGAACTGGGTGGATTGCTTACACACTTGCCTCCCTGCCTGTGCCTGTCTCTGACCCTCATCCTTCATAAGCCTGAACCTTTTTAAGCAACTTTGGGTTCCCGCCCTCCTTGAAACTGTCCAACACCACATGCCACTCATCTTGGGTCACTATTTGGGAAGCTGCTGCCATCAGCTCATCAACTCCCAGTGCTGCTCCCATTATGACCACCACTGGCTGCCAGAAATACCAGTCCATCCACTGATGTCCTATTTGGCTTACAAGTTTGCACTCCTCCTTTCTTCTCCCCTCTCCTCTTGTCCCCCTCCCTGCCTTGTAATCCCCATCAGCAACCCTCCCCCCAAATTTTGGCTTAACCCAGCCCACTGTTATTTTCCAAGCCAACTGCAACCATAATCAGCTCAGCCTCTTTCCTTGGGGGTATTTTAATTTATACAAAAGTATCATCTCTTATCATGATCAGCCTCCGATTCATTTACTCTTCAAGTATTAAAAAGCCAGAAAGGGAATAAATTCAGCGCACAGAGAAATTAATGCGGAACGATAGGCTCTTTCATGTGGCATTTCCAAGCACCGTTTTTGCAACGGGCTTATGTAATGAGACATAATTATCTGCACATGTTCAATTACATTACTTCACAAATCCTCCCTGGCTCTGCCTCGTGACGTCAAGCTGCCTGCTAAGCCCCGGCACCCGGTGGAGCGGGGAGCGCAGCCCCCATTTGGCAGCCCCTTCCTCCTCCACCCCCGGGGTCTCCCCATGTCCGTGGCGGTCTTTCAGACACCAACGGCCCCAAGTTGGTCAGATGCAAGGTGCCAAATGGCAAAGACTCCTTGGAGAGCGGTCTCCTTGGAGGGTGAAGGGACTCACAGGGAGATGCGGCAGGGCGAGGTGCCCCGTGGTTGGCAGCTGAGGCCATGTTCTCCCGTCCCTGAATGAAAGGCAGAGGCAGGGAAGGGCTGGAGGCTGTGAGGAAGCTCTTTTAATGCCTCCTCATGTATCACGTCTCCATCTCAGCGCCTTTGTTTCAAACTGACAGGAAGCCACAGACGCTGGCTGGCAGAGCTGGAGCTCCCTGGGCATCCCTTGGCCGCCTCGCTGCAGGCGGCATTTTGCTGGAGCAGCCCATGCTGCCACTGGCCCAAGCCCAAAACCAAGGTTGGGCCTGACCCCCTCTCCCCAAGGACAATACTCTCTCAGTCTTCCAGTCAGCAACATAGGCAGCAAAACAGAACATGGCACCCACCGCTTCCCTGCACAGCCCAAGACTGCCCCACCTCAACCTTCATCCTCCTCATCACCCAACGGGATTATGGTGCACACTGACCACAGGCCACAGCCATCCTCCTCCCCTCGCCAGCCTGGCCACCACCACCACCACCACCACCCACTCCAGGAGCACAGCCTCCTTTTCCAGGCTGCCCTCTTCTCCCAGCTTGCTGTCACCGCCGCTGAGATGGTGGACGATTGATCTGAGAAATGAAGTTGGATTGCTGTCCCGAATCTACACTCGGTTCTCCTTGTGTGTGTCTGATCGATTTCACCCTGTACGACACAGCTTGTCGCTACGAATTTTCATGCTAGTCAGAACCCGCCAGCGCACCCAAGAACAAGGAGAAGATGCTCCAAAGCCCTCCCTCCCCCTCGCATCCTCCCCCAGTTCGGTTGGGCGAGGTTTTCTTGGGTTGCGCTTGTTTTTTTTCCCCTTTTCCTTCTATTTATGACCATTACCGCCGTCAACCCCATCATTGCTGTGCTTTCAGTCCCCTCCCGCCCGCCCAGCCCGGCTTCAGATGCCGGCCAGGGTTGGGTTATTTTTAGGTGGCCGCTGCAGGATGCTGCCATCAGCCTCATCGGCGTGGAGCCATCTCTGGGTTAGGGTGCTCGTGGTGACATTCCCCACCGCGGTTACGCGAGGTGTCACCTGTTTAGCAGTTCCTCTCAGCCGAACGCATGTGGCCGCAGGTGCCACGCGAACGCTGATCGGCTCTGACAGTCCTAGACGCCAGCTGCCTGCACAGAGCCTGCCCAGTCGCCACTTTTTTCGTGGGCAAAGCTCTGCCGTTGGCGTGACCGATACAGAAGCAATAAACTAGGTGACCGTAAAAGCAAAGACAAGTCCTACTAAGTGGCATTCTGAGCCCTATGGCTTTGAAATAATTGGTAGTGAGAGAACAAAAATGAAAGGGAGGGAAAAAAATAAAACAAGAACCCAAGCCTATTTTTTTTTTCTTACACTGATGCCCTGCGGACTATACATCTGACTTGCTGCGAGTCCGTCACTGTATCCTCCTGTCTGGCTGATAACATGGCGAAGGGTATCCACCTAAACAGACCAACGACAACAAAGACACAAATTAGAATGAATGAAAGGTTAGTGGGCAAAGCCGCTTCGGTTCATCTTTGGCACAGTAGAACAAATAAACAGTAACAGCACTAATAAAGGTACGTATTTAAAGAGGGGGGGGGAAAGAACCGTGGTTGGACTCATGGTGAGAGTCAAGTCGCAGGAGCGCTCCCTTGCCTCCCCGATGGCCCACCCCCGTCACACTCTTGGTGGCCCCAAGCCCTTGAACACCAAGAGCAGAGAGGGAGAACAGTGTGGCAAGCACAAGCTGGCACCTCCTGGGGCACATCGCTGGGGCCAACTTCAGCATTGTGCCCAAGGACCCAGTCTTACTCATCCCCTTCCACCCTTTGAGCTCACATCAGTGGAAGGAGATCTTTGGAGCTGGGTGAAGACAGCTTCTCCTTCCATTTTGGAGGGCCCAGAGAATATACCTACCATGGCAAGGCACCGTCAGCTCTCCTCTATGTGCCTCGCTCCTCTCCCTTTACTGCTCAGCCCAGACCCCGGCAGCAGTACGCACAGTGATGTGCATCTCTGTGTCCAGCACTGCAAGGGGAGTGACTTGGGCTTTAGAAAGCTCTCCTTGCCCAATGTGAACATGTCAGACTGGCTGTCATCTCTCAACACAGAGCCTTAGACACCAGAGAGAAGACTCATGGCATATCTGGACATCAGGTAGGAAGGGGAAGATCTAAGTGAGCTATTGGCTATTTAAAATTCTTTCTTCTTCAAGCATAGGTTGATGTTTCAGTAACGCTGCTCAAAGCTCCCTCACTCTGTCCTGCTGGTGTGTACATGGGCAGTGTGAGTGCCTGCGCTTTGGGATTATGGGGAGACCATGAGGGGTGACTTTTAGTTAAAAAAAAAAGTAAAAAAAAAAAAAAAACCCTAACTGTGTATTTGAACATTTCTCGCCTTGCAGCAGACACCTGGTTTGGCATCAAAGGAGTAAGTGGAAGCCATGTAAAACAAGACACCGGTCCAGACATCTGACCCCTTCCCTTGGAAGAATAAAGCATGCGGAACCTAAATCTCATCTGCTTTTGTTTGAGTACATGCCTGTTCTCCTAAACCTCCTTTCCTCCTGTTACGACTATCAAGCCAGAGCCAAATGCATTCACAAAGTGTGGGCAAGTCTCCTCAAGACCATGGTTGGTTTGGTTGGGTGTTCGGTTTTGGTTTCTTTCTGATTGATTTTTTGGGTGGTTGTTGCCTTTGCTTTTTTTTTTTTGGTTGGTTGGTTGTTTTTTTGGTTTGCTTTACTTTTTTATAAGCGTTGGTTGGTTCGTTTGTGCTGGTTGAGATTTGCTCTTTTCGGACGGGAGGGAGAAGTGCCAATACAATCAAAGGCTCCTCCAACACTAATGCATTCACTGGCAGTACATCGGATGGGTCCCTACCTGTGACTGCACGTTGGCTCCAACCTGGGCCCCTTGGTAAGAATCCCCATTGAGAGACTGCACGCTCATGAACAAATCTCCAGAGTTTGACATGTTAAAAGAACTGGAAGAACCTGGAAAGGAAAGAGTGAGGCACCTGAATCACAGAAAGGAAAAAGATCCACCCCATGACTCTCAGCCAAGAGGAAGGAACAACATGCAAAGCAACCACAAAAACAAAACACACAATCAGGTTAGTAGTATGAAGAACAGAGCAAGCAAAAAAAAAAAAAAAAAAAAAGGATGCACTCTTGAGGTTATTCAAAGCCACATGTTGTTACAGCTCAATGCCAAGAACTTTCTTCAACAGCTCCTCAGCTGGAGGAAGGATTCTTCATGCTCTGGACTAAGATGAACAAAACCCAGCCTGGAGGACTCAAGACAGCCTTTTCTTTCATTTCTGGCCATCAAAATCCTTCAGGCAGCTTTGCAGATCTCGATTTTTGGAGATGTCTACCCGGCAGATTGCACCAGAGAACAGAATTACCCAAAGAACGCTTCACTATCAAAAGCAGAAGCCACTTCAGCACGGCTAACCGGGCCCATGCTGCTGTTGTCTCTGAGAAGCTCAGCTCAGTGCAGGTAAGTCTAGGCCATGCACCCTTACGGGGCCTTTCTGCCGGGTGACCACATCCAAGCACCACCCCTTTCCATGCCCAGAGCTCCCTTGAGGAAGCTATGCATGGTCTGCCTTCAGGACATCAGGATCCATCCCAGGGGTGAGCGCAACACACCAGGAGCGAAGGTTCACAAAAATGTGAAGGCACCTGGGCCAGGCTCCCAGTAATGATCTTGTTGACAACCTTCTTTCATCTCAGTGGGCTGTGAGAGGACCTGGGTGTCCCAGCCCCATGGGGCCAGCTGTCCCAGAACAACGAGCTCTGTAAGCAAATCCCCACTGCATGCACCAGTCGCCAGCGTTACGCTCAAAAACGATAATGGTGAGGACGACTGGGTGGGATCAGGAAAAAAAAACAACCAACAGATGATAAGGAAAAATAAAAAAGGTCCTGCTTCCAGCTTTGAGATATCTGAGCACCTCCTTGACTACCAAACAGGAGAAACAAACCTAATGTGTAACTGGAAGGCAGGCGAGGAGGGAAGGGGGTTAAAAATAAATAAAAAGGTTTTATGGGATTATTTCAGAACTCATCGTGCAGATCAGCGCGTTAAGTGTGAGACAGCTCAACGTGCAAGGTTTGGTTATATACATGACGTTAGCCTTGGAAAGGAGAGACTTCAGGGGCCCAGGTCAGCTCTGCTTTCAGCTCCAACCCAAAATACGCTCTCATCATCTCCGCTGCTGCTTCCAGCTTGGAAGATTGGCAACCACAGTCCTGCTGGAACTGCCCAACTATGGCTCATGTGTGTGCTCTGAGAAATGTCCAACAATTCCCATCTCCTGCTGGAGAGGAGAAGGAAGAAACCCTCTTGGCAGTGCCCAGGCTCTGCCCTGGAGATGAGCCAGGAAGGAAACAGATGGAAGCCAACATCAAGAAGGCTCAGGGAGCAAGTCCACAAGTAGGAGGTCTAAGTTGGAGAGTTCACGTTCACGACACCTTCCTGCAAAAAACCTTACTCTTCGCACATGGCCCTTTTATCAGGAGTGCACACGGTGGAGCAACCCACCAATGCTGTGTGAAGTAAGCAGCACTAGGTGGCAGGGCTGCAGCCAGCGCCTCCCTGCTCAGCTGGTACCCAGCTCCTGTCGCCTCCCCACCTCTCAGGTTCTAAAGGCAAAAAGCTATGGATGTCAACTAGGAGACTGAGGATATCCCCCACTGACACCACTCAACATAAAGCATGAGGATGGACACTTATGTACAAAAAACTGCTTCCTACTGGCTTTTCTGAATGATCACTTTGACTACCAGCATAAAGCCCAGAGCAGTGTGATGGCTTTTGTGCTCCCACAGTGGCTGGGAACCAAAGGATTTTGCAGTTAACCCCCACAAGAAGCAGAGAATATTCTGCAGTTACTTTAAGGTGAGCGAAACCCTTCGAGACGACACAAGCAATCAGTGTCAGAGCTGGAAAGAGGACTTGGGAAACCCTGACAGGACTCCACCATCACTCTACCCCCAAGCAGAGCAGCATTCCAGCTTTCCCTACCAAAACAAGATAATAATAATAATAATAATAACAACAATAATAATAACAAAAATATCATAAACGTATCCGGTCTTTATGGAAATTAAACAAACCTGCCCCTTAAAATTGAGACTGGGAGGAAGGAAATAAAAATAAACAACCACAAACTCTAGTTCTGTAGAGCACCGGTGTCTTGGAAACCATGAGGAGTGCTGGAGATGTCACTTACAAGATATACACTGCTATCGGCACAGGGTATTTTTACAATATATGTGCATATCTAAACGGCAAATATGTCTTGCTGCTGATGTGGATGCAAAGATAAATATGCGCATACCAATGGCCCGCATGTATGGATGCATTTGTATCAGAGCCATAATTGCAGAGAGCCCTTTCAGCTGCTACTCTGCTGTTTCAGCACTCTGCTGCCTATGTGCTAGCCATGTATGAAAATTACAATGGCCCAAAGCCTCAGAGACACAGCTACGAGGGACTGATGCGCCGGGGTGGAAGAGGAGGGGGAGGAATGCAAAGAGTCCTCAAAATTAAGACACTGGTATCCTTCACAGAAACAAGTCTTGTCTGTCTGCTGGAGGATGCTCCATCCTTAATCTGATTTGTCCCTCTGAAAGGCTCCGTTGGAAACACACCACAGCGGTCATAGTTTGACACAGAACTCCTTGAGAAGTGAAATGTAATAACCACCTTTGAGCTTGTGGACCCACAATGAAAGGTCTCTGAACTTGGCACATGTAAGTCCCTTGATGCTTCCATGCACAGACAAAAGAAAACGGGAAGAAACGTATGTAGTAGTGTGAAGCAGCGGTCCATCTTCAGCATCCACACATCATCAAACTCAAGACTAATCACCATCATTCCTTAGCGGCGAGTTCCCATCAGAACACCAGTTTCAGAAAAAGTGGTGGCAATGCTTAAAAAGAAACGAGCTTTGGCACTCAGATCTTGCCACTGGGTGAAAACCTACACCAAAGCAATGCCAACAATGAGATCTCTTCCACTTCTCACATTTATATGCTGCTTATTCCTACCACCCACCACCAATGAGACAAATCTAGTATCCTGAACCACTGAAATCAACTTTGGTCGTGTACATGAGATTCCTAATTAAAGTCAATGGCTGCCACCTATATGCATCAGGAAAATTTGATTTAAAGTAACTTTTCCTTGTGTTTCTACCATGGCCAAAGATAAGGGAAGAAGATGATGGACCATGCAGCAGCTCAGGTGGACAACGTCCCTTAATCTGACACAAGTTCTAAAAGCAAACATAAGCCTGGGCTGGTCCTGCAGGACACCTGCTGTTCTTTTTCACTTGCCAAATGACACTGAAGACAGTGAGACCACGACGAGCATGGTTTCTTTGCTCACTCTGGCATCCCACAAAAAGCAACTGCCACAAACAAATGGGGGAAGGCAGAGAAGATACAGCCATCAGGCTCGTGCCTGATGAAGCATATTTCCAAATCCTGTCCATCAGCAGCTGTGCATGAAGATTTTTACAAAATGAAAGGATGAGCAGGTAAAAAAAAAAAAAAATAATAATAAAAAAAGTTCAGGATAATTTTGGCTGCTCTGCATGGAAGATTTCACTGAATGTCATCACCCATGTGCAGTCCTCCAGGACTCTGGTTGGCAAAAGGGTCAGTCCACATAAAATAACTCTCATTTGCCACATGGTTTTTGTGCTGAGATTGTCCATACATTCAAAGTGAGGACGGGGAGTTGTTAGCCCAAATGAGCCAGACATCTCAGCTTATTTGAACATCTGGCTGATAAAACCCAACTGCGTGTATTCAGGATGAAAAGGTGTTTGACATTCAGGCCTGGGTGACTGAGGGTGGGGGACCCTGTGCTGAAGGTGCCAGATGGCCAGCCAGATGCAGTCCTTGCCCTTGTCAATGTGTGGCCAATCTCTTTGACTGACTGTAGCCATTCACCGAGCTCCGGTAACATGGCTGTCAATGCAGAGAACAGATGGGTCTGCACAGCCACAGCAGAAATGAATTTAGCTCCTGTCCCAGGTCCCAGCACATCCAGTTCCACCTCCTCTTCCAACATCATGGCCCTCCAGGGGCTACATTGCTGGTTGCTGCCTCCTTCTCATGACCTGTCCTCTGTCTGCTCCCCTTGTTTCCATGTGCCCTGTCATGTATTTAAACCACAGGACCCTACAAATCACCAAATCTAGTCTTTGTTCAGGCTCCTTCCTCACCAAAATCCCTGCCACTGATCTGTAAACAGAAAAAAGACCGTGGTATTAAAGGAGAGCTTTCATCCACCTTAGTCCTTCATCTCTTCATGCACTTCCACATTCCTCCCAGGGCAATGCAGCACACCTGGATGGCTCAAAATCCTTGGCACCATCCTCCAAGTCTTTGATAGGAATTTCAGACCAAGCATGCACAGGTGTGCTTTTGGTTGTCAGCACCTACAGCACAACCTGAAGAAGGGAAGGTCATTCAACTTCAGATGCCACTGGGATACACCTCTGCCCTACAACATGACAGTATAGGGATGCCTGGCTGAGCAGGGGAAATCTCAACCTGGGGTGCCACTGCTGGAGATAAAGTCCCAAGGCCCTTCCATCTGTCTTCTCAAGAGAGGACATAAGGACATCCAATTCCACTGTCTCTGCAAGCTTCCCTAGAGACTGGGCTGTTAGGTCTCCCTGCTCTGCCACTGCTGTAGCATACAGGGAAAGTGGTGGCTCAGAAACACTTTGATTCCAGCACGGCAAGGACCTTCAAAGTGCAGGAGCTCATGTGCATCAACAAGCTGCTTTAGCACTGCCTTAGCACAGGAAAAGGGGTTGGTGTTCCTGGGGAGTGGAAAAGGGAGCAAGAAAGAGGACCCAGGAGCTCATTTCTTACATGTTAATAACAAGACTGTTTGTCCTTCCTTGAAAGCAGTGTTATCCAGGGAATATCTCAGCCGTTTACTGCAGGGTACCGGCCAATCTATCACTGAAACAGCCATGCTACTGCCTGTGGGGACGTCAAAGAAACAGACTCACGCTGGAGCACTATTTAACAGGGCAGGCACTGGGGAAATGCCTACATCCAACAGCCATTTCCAAACCTATTTGAGTCATCTGAAGCTGCTCCCTTGCCCTTCCACACCTTTGGGTCTGACTCCAGTTGAAAAAGGCAGAACAGGAGGAGAGCTGTGCCTTGTGGGCCCAAGCTGTGTGTGCAGGGCAGCAGGTAACCATCCTCCGAGCACACACAGTTCTGCTCTCTGTCCTCCAGGCTTTCCTACAGCTGGGCCTTAGCCATTTGAGCAGGTAGTAAGGATGACATTTTTCAAACTGCATTTAAATCTTCTGCAGTTACAGCAATGGAAGGAAAAGGAAAAACAAAAACAAACAAAAAAACCCCACACTGCTGGTTTTCCTTTTGTCTGGGCTCTGCTTTCTCTGCCTCCCCAGACCTCCAGATCTGGGGGTGCAGTTCCCCTGACACCCTCTACTGTGTAGATACTGCATTTGCTATGTGAGCACATGTCCCAGTAGCAACCAGCATCTGTATGGTGTATGAGTGATGGGCTGCCCAATGCCCTCCCACCCCTACAAAGAAAAGATGCACATGCATATTTGTCTGGATAAGAGTGTGGCACCCACAAAATTGCCTTTTTTTGTTCTTTTTCATCAGGTTTCAGTTTTCCATCGCTCCTGGGAGCTGGGCATAACCAGAACAGAGCATGCCAACCACAGCTTGGCATGGTTTTGTAGTCAGCCACTACAGTGAGCATCGTTCTCTAGCGGAGGAGTTGAAATCTGGGCAAAGTGCTCTGTGCCTTTGACCCTCAAAACAAACAGATGGAAACCACAGCAAATGGGCAGGAAAGGGGGAACGGGAAGGGAACAAAGTGACCCACAGGTCTCCCTGGGTCATCCTGACACAAAGGGAAAATAAAATTCACACAGAGCACACTCTTGCAGGTGATCCCGACATCATCATGTAAGCAATCAAAGGTAACCACAACAGAAAGAAAAGCAACAGACAGAAATCTGCCCCAAACAGCTCCCAAACTGCATGAGTTCAGACATACCAGAAATGTTGGGCTTTATTAATGAGGGCCACTCATGCTTTCTGCCCCCAGTGAAATGGAACAATTGGAACAAGGATTTTTTTTTCCTTTTTTTCCCTTTTTTTCCCCCTCTTCCCAAAGAGTTAACAAACCCAACATTTTTTTTTTTTTCTGGTCATTTTTCTGCTTTTGTGCCTGCGCACAGAACCCAACACATCGCCGTCACTCACATGGTCTGATCACATTGCTTTTCAAATGAGAACCAGAACAGAGAAGGGGAACCAAGTAGAAAGCTTAAACAAATCCCCCCACACCCTCCCAAAACAACCCCAAAAACCAAACCCATCTGTCTTTTTCCTTTTCAAGACCACAAAAGTGAGCCAACCAAAACCAGAAAATAAAAACTGAAATAACCCAAAGGAGAAATCGAGAGAGAGATTAGAGGGAGGGGGGCAAACAAACGGAAAACCAAACATTAACAACCCAAAATAAAATAAAACAAAACTAACCAGCTGAATTGGGAGTTGAGGGTGAGTTAGCCTGGCTTCCATGGGCTGACACATTGGTAGCCGTGACAGCCGTTTTGGCAGCATAAATATTGGCTTCCTCTTGAAATTTACCTATGTTCTTCTTGTACCGGATTCTCTTATTTCCAAACCAGTTTGATACCTAGAGTGAGTTTAAGAAAAGACAAAAACATTAACGTTTCTGCTCTGGAAAGAGTGCCTGGGCGAGGACACTGGATTAGCTCAAGTTAAACAGTGCATCGTAATTGTTTTATTCCCCATTTGTTCAGCCATGGGAGGGAGCACCTTCTACCTACAACAATCCCCTGAAAGACAGTGGAGACACTTGAGAACAGAGGGTTTGTATGGGTCCATCTGGTGCCTTCAGAGCAGGGCTGTGTGCCTGTCCCTGTGTGCAGAGCAGGGACTGCCTGAAGACCTAACTTTGGTCCCAGGGAACAAGTGTGTCCCTTGGAGGTGGCTGAAAATGATGGGCTGGATGTAAAGGCAGAGAGAGAAGCAGTGCAGCTGTGCTCCTTTCCGTCCTGGAGAGAGCTGCCTGCAGGAATGTAACATGACAGCAAAAAGACCCAAGGAGTGGTGTGAGCAAGCAATCCTTAAAGCTCAGCGATGTGACATCGTGGGCTCAGTGGTACGAACGCCTTGAAGAACAGTCACTTGGCCATCCTGCCTGGTGACTAGACAAACATCCCAAAGTCTGCACGTTCAGCACAGCAATAGGAAGCTCTGAGTCTGAGAAATAGGGCTGTAGCACCCTGCCAGGGCTGCTTCTCCAGCAAAAAGATTAGGGAACCTCCAGAACCACACAGAGTTCCCCAAATCCCAGTCAGTGCCTTGCTGACATAATCTTGGTTCACTTGTGGCAGCTTCGTTGTAGCCAACAATTTCAGAGATGTAGGGAAGATTCAGCCTAGGGTTTGGGATGCAGCTCCCAGCTTCTTTAGCAATATGGAGAACTGGGGGGATGTCTTCCTATGTGCAGGTGTCTAAGCAGAGACCTGCAGTTGCTCCTGACCTTGCTTTAGGAAGCTCAATAGGATGATGGAGATGCGCAAAGGCCAGGGGATGCTGTAATTCTCCAACAGAAGTTCCTCCTGGGGTTGCCTGGAGCTGACATCTTGAGCTGGGACTCAACAGATCAGCCTCTTTCATGGGACTCCTCTGCTTGCTGGTGAGAAGCTCATCAGTCCCCCTTCCGCAAATACACTGCCCCGATGCCACGTCAGAAAGGATAAGGCTGGATGTTAATTCTGGGAAGCTCACTGCTTTTTCCTCATCTTATGGAAATTGTTTTGACTTGAGCATTGATAACTGAAAATTTTCGAGATTTATTCCTCTGACGTTTTCTGTCTGGAGTGCTCACAGACAGCTCAGCAGCTTCTATAGAAAAGCAGCTTCATCCACCAATCTACCCGGTACTGAATTGCACCTACTGCTGCCATGTAGGAGGAAAAAGGAAAATGTAAAACGCAGAGACTCTAGGGAGGCAAAAAGCAATAACTCACATCAGCACCCAAGCCAGATCTGGGACTGAATACTCAATGGCACTGGGAGCAGGCACAGTTTGTTAAGAGCTCCATTCCACTTCTCAGTCCAGCTTTCTCATTAATGGCAATGTGCTCCATCTCCAGCTTCCCATTTAGCTCATAAGCACAGCATTTCTCCTGGGCATTTTCTCTCCACCGGGGAGAAGTTGTAAGTGCGAACAGATGAATTAAAAGTGAGAGGGGAAGCATCAGGACAGCTGCAGTTTTACTTGAGCCAATATGTCCTGTCTCCTGCAGGTAACTCTGGACAGAATCAGTGCCTGGATCTTCTGGCACAGGGGATGCAGTCGGAGTGGCTCAGCGGGCATTCGGCACAGTGACGACTCCTACTCTCAGATGCTGCTGCTCCTGCTGAAGGCAGACATGCTCTCACAAGGACACCAGATGCTGCCGCTGTCTTCAGTTTACTCAAGTGATGAGCAGGCATGTGCCCTGGGGCTGGAAGGAGGCCCAAGATGGGGAGTGCAACAGGAGCCTGGAGGGAGCGCTAAGCTCACACGAGGACGAGACTACCAGAGGCAACATTCCAGCCCTCAGTCACGAGGCTTGCTCCAAAAAGTGAGAAAACAAAGGGCAGGCCTGAGTAATGTACAGCTGAACACTTCAAGGACTGACTGTGCTCCTCAAAAATCCCCATAGCTAGTGATTCAAAACTACAGACTTCAGGAAGTACACGGCTGCTTCAAATGCATGGAAATAATTCAGTCTGCCTTCACTGACCACCTTTCTTTGAGGGATAAGCAAAGGAGAGAGAGGGAGAAACAACCCTGAGAAAGCCCACTCTCCTCGAGCACTGACTGGCTCTAACCATCAGCCTGTTTGACCCTATCCCTTCCCACCAGAACCTTGTTCCTTCTGCCTCATCAGACAAACTCTGCTCAAACCCTCTCACTGTCTTCAAATCCCTTACCCTGAAGAATGGTCTTTCAGCTCATACGAGCTCTCCTTGCAAACCAGCATTGATTCCCTGAGGAGAAAACTGCCTCTGTGCATTGTGCTGAACTGTTTCTGTACTGCTGACACCATGACTGCACACGCAGTCACACACATTAAGTCTTCATCCTGTCTAAGTCCTCTCCCAAACACTCTTTTTCACCCATGGCTTGATCCTGTAAGTCTGCTGTCTACTTCCTACTCACCAGTTTACTCTGATCCCATTTAGCAATTAAATGCTCAACGGTGAGACATAAGTAACTAGACTGAGGACTGAGTGCCCTCCAAGGTGTTTGGTTTCCCTGAACAGCAGCTGTCTTTGCTGTATTTCTGGGCTCTCTCACCTGTGAGACTGTGATGCCGCATTTCTTGGCTAGCTCTTCTTTGGCTTCCTCACTGGGGTAAGGGTTGCTGAGATGGGAATAGAAATACTCATTCAGGATTTCCGTAGCCTGCTTGTTGAAGTTTCTTCTCTTCCGCCTTGTAGGGAAGAAGGAAGGAAAAACAGAAGAAAAAGGATTCAGTACCAGAGATTCAGAAACAGAAACGTAACTTTCACAGAATCATTAAAGTTGGAAAAGACCACTAAGATCACCTTGTCCAACGGTCAAACCATCCCCACCATGCCCACTAACCATGTTCCTTAGTGCCACATCTCCACGGTTCTTGAACACAGTGATTCCACCACTTCTCTGGGCCTCTGTGAGTGCATTACCACTCTTTCTGAGGAAACTTTAGATGCTTTGAACTTCCCTACTTGCCTTCCACCTTCCCCTGCTCCTGGGAGCATAGGGTGCAGCAGACTCATGGCCAGGAATCCTAGTCTGCACTTTGCTGGGGACTCCTCCCTCAGCACCTTCCAAAGCAAGTACATCTCATTCCTTAACACCAGCACCCAGACCCTGCACCTGGGAAGGTGACCCCTGACACCTGGCTGTCCTAGCAGAAGAGGTCAGTGCTGCTCTACAAAGCCCTGTGCTGAGAAAGCAGCCACAGGTAAGTCCTTGGGGAAGTCTGTTCCTTTTACAGCTGGATGCTGTCAGCTATTTCTTCCCAAGTTGTAGCTGCCCAGCCTCCCTATCTCAAGATGTAGCCCAAGCCTACAGTCTGCATCTGACCAGCTTGGAAAGTGAATAAACTCTAAAGCACACTGAGAATCTGGGACACTGGAAACAGAAGGAAAAGAACAGGAAAACCAGAGGGAACAGGACGGCTTGCAGGATTAGTTTTCATCCCTAACTGAAGTGTTGCAGCAGAATCAGCAGTGTGCAGTTCTCAAGGGAAGGATAAGGAGGATACAGCCCTTGTGGCTCAAAACCGGGGGCCCTGCCCTTCCCAGGCTCCCTGAGTCACTTCAGAAGCTCTCCCTGGCCCAAACAAAGCTGCTCAGTGGATGTGGAGAAAGGTCTGGGGAAGTGAACTCACCGTGCGTCCAGAAATCGGGAGCGCAAGATCATGACGGCTTCACACGTGCTTTGCTTCAACTGCATCTGGATGGAGCTGAATTTGCGGTGGATGATGCTCACCATCCGCTCTATCTCCTTTGGTGAGATGGGCCGGGTCCGGCTCTGCTCACGCAGCAGGTTCATCACGTGGGTGGTGAATTCGTTGCATGCCTGGGATGGCAAGAAAAGCAAAAGAAACCCCAGGATCGGAAGGTCATTCGATGGCGTCAAGGAGAGCACAGGAGCAGAACAGCTAAAGAAGGAGACGCAGGCAGTGGCCTCAGTGGCTAAGGTTTGTTAGGGCAGACCCACAAAAGAGTGCTGGCTCTCAAGGGGACATGTATTCCTCTCAAGGGAAGAGAAAATCCCAATGTATACTGAGTAAAAAGCAGGAGTCAATTGTATGCTCTCAGATACCATAGATGGAGCTGGTGCAACAAGCCCTAGGACCTGTCAGTACGTCCCAGCCCTTGTACTTCTCCTGGATAGGGCTGGAAGAGCTACAGATGAATCTGAGAACCACGAACCTTTCAACCAGCACCATGTGTCCTCCAGAGCCCCTTCTGCTTTATGGGAACAGCCCCACAGAGACACAGCCCTGTCCTGGGCCCTTAGCACTTTGAATGAGAAGCATGGAAGGATAATAATGATAGCCTGATTGAGGCAGCAGTTCTGACACGTAAGGGCAAGCAGGCAACAATCCCATTAGCATGCTATGGGCACAGCACTGCCTGCCTGCTCCCACTTCCCCCATGGCATGTTGAGGACTCAGCAGTGAGGGGCCAGGGAGGACTCCAGATGGAATGAAACTAGATGCTATCTGAGATTCCTTCCAACCCAAGCCATTCTATGATCTATAATTCTGAGGCTGGATGAAGGCAACCCCATTGCTCTCCCCCACCCCCTTGGATGGTAAAATCAGATCCTCTGATTTCCAGAACCAGTCTTGGGTCCAAGCCCCAAAACCCAGCATTTGGCAACCAGTTGGTGGCTTGAGAAGCTTTAGGCGCTCCCGAAACACATGAAGCTGCTCTGGGGAGGGCATCACCAGCACCCATCCCATGAGATGGAAAATGGGGCTGAAACACAGATTGTGTGGAGTGGTAACCCAAGGTTCACTATCTATCTCCCATCCCAAGCAATTTCTCCCCCTCTGCTCATCGCCCCCAGGGTCAGCCCATGGGGAGGTGATGAACCCTGCAGCCAACAACCCTGACCTGCCTGGGCTGTGGGGCTGGGTATGAGAGCTCTGAGCCCAGTGACTCTTTGCTCCCAGACAGCTGAGCAATTTCAGCTTGTCTCCTCTTAGCATGAAATAAGAGCATTAAAGGAAAATTGCAGGAGAGCGCTGTGCTGTCACAGCCACAGCCAGACAACTGTGTGAAGCCAGACAGAGCTAGATAGAAATAGGGGGGACAAAGGTCAGGAGAGCCATCCCAACCCCTGGTTTTGCAGGGCTGCAGATGGTGGTACTTGCTCTGCCTCCTGCAGCTGTAAAAACGAGGCCCAGTGCATTCATTCCCAAAGCATCTTGGTGGTAAAAATGACACTGGAATGGGTTGCGAGAAGGAGCAAGCCAGAGGCAAGGCGCTGGGTGGGCCCTGCTCTTCCCATTGCTCTTCCTGGGGTGGGGTGCCAGAGGACGTGGGGTCCCTCTCCCTCTGCAACCAAGGCCTGAAGGATGAGCTGTGACATGCCTTGTGCCCCAGCCATGTGAGTCGGCCATGCTGCCCAGGAGCAGCAGCAGCAGCAGCAGCGGCTGAGGACAGCCACAAAGGTCAGCCCACACCGTGCAACCCTCACGCCAGCCCTCCCTGCTCCATGGCACAGTGTTTGTAACACTGAGGCCATGCTCTGCTTCTCCACCCAAAAGGAGAGATGCTCGGGGTACAAACCACAGTCATCACAAGAGCGAGTTGTACAGCCAGGAAGGAAGCTCTGCAGAACATCTGGAAGCATTTGAAAGAAAGCGATTTGGAGCTTTGGCTTGCAAAGCTTCTCATGCAATTGTCAGTGTTACTAATAGCTGCATTCATGACCCAAATAGTTTGTCCTTTTTTTTTTTTTTTTTTTTTTTTTAAAGAATCATTTGCCACAAGAAAAAAGCCACATTTTCTTTCTTTTTTCCTTTTTTTCCCCCTTCTGGAAAATTAACTTTCCAAGCAAAAGTAATACTCAAGAGAGATTTTGATTCAAGTTTAAGGGTCCTTGGAAAACTGCCTGCAATGAGGCCAGCGCCTCCAAGAGGAGTCCCCTTCGGCAGTGCCAATTTTTAGCCAAATGCAAAGGGAGGAGAGAAGAAAAAAAACTAGGGGGGAACACATGCTGAGCCTATTCTCATAGCACACCCCAGCACAAAACAAAAAAGAACTGTCCGAGTGCTAAGAAGGCCTGTTTCCACTGCTGTGGAAAGCAACAGCTTTGCACTGCCCGCACTCTGCTAACAATAGATGTCAGTAGTGGTCCAGGCTGTTTGCCTGGCGTGGGCAGCAGCACCGTGCTCTATGCCGGCCAGACCCATCCCATCCCATGCCACGAATGAGCCTGTTACCTGCTCGTACTTCTCCAGCTCCGTGTGGTAGATCTGCCGGATCTGGGACAGCTTGGCTCTGTAGTCAGAGTGCTCCACCGAGTTGTCGGATCCGGCTCCTCCCGATGCGGCAGCAGCGGCGGCGGCAGCAGCAGAACCGCCTCCTTTCTCAGGGCCCGCGACGCCCTCGGCCAGCAGCATGTTGTCTAACCGCATCAGCTGCGGGTCTGTGGGCTCCTCTTCCTGTGCTCCCCGGATGCTCAGAACTGTGGAAACATAAAGGGAAGAGGATGAGTCGCGTCGGTGTGCGGGTGTAGAAGTCGGTGCGTGGTGACACACATGGCACAGCCCTAAGCTGAGAGCTCCCCATGGCTTCCACGATCCCTTTCTCCCATTTCTGCCCCTTTCCCTCTTGAAATAGGGCAGAAGCAGCAGGAACCTCCCAGCAGAAGTAACCCAGAAAGCTGCATTTTGCTGCAAACACATAGCAAAGCTGCTCGCTCGCAGCCTGCATTTCCCATCACATCTGTACCGACATGATGCTCTCACAGAACCAAAGAATCGTGGAATCATTAAGGTTGCAAAAGACCTCTAAGATATCTAGTCCAACCACTGACCCATGACCACCATGCCCACTAAACCACATCCTTTCTCAGTTCTGTTCCAACAACACCAACCAAAACCACACTGAGTGTACCAAAACTTGCTGAAATCAGTAATAGGGACCACTTCCCAATTCAAGCATGGGATGGAAAGGCTCCAGCCCAAACCTCAGCTTGCCCAGACATCCTCAGCCCCAGGAGGAGGAGGAGGCAGCACAGAGTGCAGGGCAGGCCATGCCTCAGTTTCCCTGTCTCTAAATACGAGTGAAGCCAAAGCACAAGGAGCTTTTAGCCACACAAGGAAATAATAATAATAAAATGTATGAAATAAGAAGTACCATTTGCAAAATGCCTTTTTTAAGAATCTGGTCGTTCTAGTGAATTCTAAAACTGTGCTAAGAAAAGGGGCATCAATAAATCAATCCGCACACAACGACTTGCCAAGGAGAGAATTCTTTTCCCCTCTTTGTACTCACTGCTTCAATTATTGCTCCCAGTAAGAGTCATTCTCATAGTTTCCCTCTACCAATTAATTGTGGGGTGCTCAGCTGCTGCTCTGCCTGCAGACTGGACTGAGGAGGAAGGAGGCATACATGGACACAAATGCATATCCAAGCAAAACTCAAGGGGTTTCATCACATGGAAATCTCACTGTGGTCCCACCTGCTGGCTGTTTGCACACACAAATATGGCCCTCGCTTTCCACGTGTACACAAACAGGTGTGCGCATCTGCACAAAATAAAATACATCCTTGACAAGCCAACAAAAAAAAAGACATCTCAGAAGAGAAGCAAATTGTATTTTCCCGTCTCATCTGTCACAGGGACTCAAAACACAGTGGAAATGCATGAGCATCCCTCACGTGGAAGCTCCTGCATTGCTGGAGCTGGGTGATGCTGTGTGGGCTTTAGGGAAGCGGTGCCTGAGGTACCTGGGATGCTCATCCCATCCTTTCTGAACCCCAGGCCACAGCAGCAGCAACAAGAGCAAGTGATTTTCAGCGCATTTAAAAGCATATCTGAAGGCAGTTGCCAATAAGATGTAAAATCAGAGTAGATAAGAAACAGAGCCAAGCAAGGAGTGCGTTCCTCCTGGCTCTGAAAAACGCTGAAGATCATAGAATCACAGAATCATCAAGGTTGGAGAAGACCAATATTAAACAACTCCACACTGGAGACAATCATTTATAAAAGGAGGGGTGGGGGCATGGCACCAAACTGGTGAGCAGAAGCCAGTTTCCAAGCAAGAGGAAGCAGATGGGTCCTGCAATCCTCAGCTCATGCCGGCATCACTGCTCTTCCAGAAGGTGAAGAAGTGATAATACTCACCATATGAACTTGCTATGAAATAAAGAGTATAAATTCCTATTCCCCTGTTAAAAAAAGAATCACTAAACAGTAGCGCATCAAAAGCCCAAATACAAATAGAATGCAAGCCAGGTAAAACACTAATTGAAAAAAAGCCTGAAAACAATTAAAAAAGAGAGTTGCCGAAACGGCTGCATCTGGATTTCGAAAGGGAAATATTTTTAGATTAAAAATCTCAGGAATCATTGACCTGACAGGTAGGCACAAGTGATTAATTAGTTTATGTTTGGCGAGCTGCTTCGTGATGGGAAGCACAGGACATCTCCGTGCCATCGCCGTGCTGCAGGAGTGGGAGCCCTGGGATCGCTGTGCGCTGTGGGCATGCCCACATACGTGTTCCCAAAACCCAGCTGGGGCTGGGGGCCATGTGGAATTAGGCTGCTGGGTAAACAAATGGGAAGGGCGATACGTCTGCATGGAACGGATGCAGAACCTGACAGGCCGCATCCCTCAGCTTAGTACCCCAGTGCCCACCCATTTGCTGCTCCTGATTAAAGAAAGGGGAAGGGGAAGCCAAAGGAAAGATAATGACCGAGAGCTGGGGCTGGGGGAGGCAAATTCGTGACAGAGCTTCTATCCTTGGCTGCTTTTCTGCAGGCTTGGCAGCCCTGAGCTGCAGCAAATGCCACTAGAGGGTGCTCAGCCCTCACCGAGGGCACCCGCTGGCACAAACCACGTTTCTGTATGTATGTCTGTACACACACAAATACACATAAATAGATACGTATCTATATTCTAAAAATCAAAGCAAAACCACACTCCTTGTCCCCATCTGCACTGCTGCAAACCATCCTCAGCTCGCTTGCTATGTGCTGAGCATGGCCCCTCCATGACCACTGGTCACCAGGGTGACCATCACCAGCAGCACAGGACCACTGAAGCCACATGCCATGGCTCCCCTTGGGGTCACAGAGCCATGTTCTCCTTCCCCTGCTGTCCCCAGTGGTGACCCCCAGCCAAGAGCACCCAGCACTTGCCAGTGGGTCTCATGCACCAGGTCAAGCCCAGGGAAGGGATGGGGTGCCTTGGGGACAGCTTGCAGGAAGAAGACATGGGACACAACAGAGGCCAAGCCAGGTGGTGATATAAGAGCCGGACAGCAAAACAAGACAACTAAAGAAAGAAACAAGCTGATGGCTTCGAAGGAGTAACATAGGGCCCCTGCCCAAGCTGGGATGCCCCTACATGGCTTTTCTGCTAGCTGTTCCCAACTTGCTGCAGTGCCTTTCCAGGGGATGTTTAAAGGAGAAGAAGATTTCAAGTAAATGATTGCAACTTATCGAAAATAATGTGCTACTTAGCATTGGAGACAAGCATCCTGGCAGGCAGAAATGGGAAGCCGTGCTGGAGCAGATGGGAGTAATTAGGTTGTGATTTTCAGAAGGGTTTTCTTTCCTGCCTCCACTGTGCCTAAGATGTGCTGAGAGGGTTACAACGCAGCCAGCAGCAGTTGCAGGAAAAGCAAGGATCCCTCTGCCAGGCTGTGAGCTTCCTGCTGCTTTTTCTATGGGGAGATGGGAGCAGCAATGCCACTTGCGGAGCCCTGCTGGTTGCTCTCACTGGCTACTTCCATAGACAAGGACGATTTGGATGCCTCCTTCTGCACCAGCACATTACATCTCTCCTGGCAGCAGATGACTTGCCCAAACCCTTTCCTGGGTTTGTGCCACTGGGATGTGCCACTAACACAATGGTGGCATGGCAGCTCCTCTGGGAACACAGTACTCCTGTGTGTGCCCACACAGCAGCACATCAAACATCAACACTCTTCCCACTTTTTGCAATTTAAGCACCATTCGCTTGGGTTCAGAGAGCCCCAGCTTCAGGATTTACACCAGCTCACTGTTTAACAAAATGCTTTTAGGTCTGAAACAACAGCCAGCAACTGCCGTGATGCCAACACTGTGCAAACAAAACCACTAACGAAATGCGTTATTTCAAGCTACTCTCAATATTCCCCGGAGCTTGGTTCTACATTTGTGAACATTTGAGATCAACAGCACTGAACCTGGTACAAAAATACTCCCATCTGCCTCATATTTAAGGACAGTTAAAATTGCAAGGACTTAACACATGTGGGTGGTTTGTGGCTGGCTGGGGCTCACACCTGTGTGTGTCCATACCCAGGGCAGCTGGGGTGATCCATGATGGCATGGCCTTCAATTGCTCTTCCCAAATTTTGCATTTCAATACCGCTTCTAATCACCGTGCACCTACCTAAATCCCTGCTGTTTCTCCTATTCAAGTATAAGTGCAGCTTGCTTTCTTCTGCAACAACAAAGCAAACACAAAGGAAAATACAAAATTCCCTAACTTGGAAGCCCTGAAGCTTGAGATCCTGCATAAGCCAAGCTGATGTACTCACACTGCACCAAGCTCATGTTCAAAATACATACAGAAAACTATGGCCATACCTCAGCCAACAGCTTGGGCATTAAACTGCATATCTCCTAGTCACAGCCCCGTAAAATCACCAATCACAGCCAACAAGGTGGAGTACTTCCATACTAAGTCAACCCAGAGCCTGAGACCTCAGTTGGGTATGTTCACCGTGAAGAGCAACCGAGAAAACCAACATCAAAACATCAGTACTAATTTCCAACATGAATGGAGGCTGGTATTTCCAAGTACGCAGGCACACGCCCTTCCAGGAAGTGGGAATTAAGAAAAGTTGTTTTTTTTTTTCTTACAATTGACATAAAAGTTTCCCTCCTCCCTCCAACCTTTCCAAAACTTACAAACGGATGAACAGAATTTGCTCAGATTTTCCAAAACAGGCTGCCATGAGATGAGGCATGGAAAATTTCAGCTGGCAAAACAGCTTTTTGTGCATCTCCTTATTTATTTCAGAGAAAGGAGGAACACTGTGAAACTGATGGGCCACTTCTGTCACCAGCTTTTGCAGTCTAAAGCCATGAAACAAACCAACAAATCCCAGCAGCAATCTAAAAACAGTGCCTCAGTGGCAAACTCAGCCCAGTCCTTTGCACAGTCCTCTCTCAGCATGGGGATGTCCATCAGGGCTGCTTGGAAACCAAGCACTTCAATGATTTTGTGAGAGGATTCTGAAGGTGGAGAGGTGTTCATCCAGTTCGTAAAGCACACACAGCTATGAAAAAAACATATAATCCCAAATAGGTTGCAGTGAGGGGTTGTACAAGAGGCTAACCCTGCTTTGGCAGGGGGGTTGGACTCGATGACCTCTGGAGGTCCCTTCCAACCCCTACAATTTTGTGATTCTGTGATTCTAACCCCAAGAAGAAGACCTACTGACCACAACGCCCTACAGTGCTGCC